ACCGCAACCTCCGCCTCCTGGGTTTAGGCAATTCCCCTGCCTCAGCCTCCTGAGTAGCTGGGATTACAGGCACACGTCCACCATGCCCAGCTGATTTTTTGTATTTTTTAGTAGAGACGGGGTTTCACCATGTCGACCAGGATGGTCTCGAACTCTCGACCTTGTGATCCACCCGCCTCGGCCTCCCCAAAGTGCTGGGATTACAGGCTTGAGCCACCGCGCCCGGCCACTTCCTTCATCTTTTATTAGGATTGACCTCTTCACCTGTGTGAGAACAAATAAAAAGCCAATACAGAGGTTGTGAAGGTCACGCAGAGTTGTGAGAACCAAGCTTACTTGCTTTGGTAGTAGGGATAAATTTGTTCAGGCCCCCAGGCACTGGAAGAGTACACAGTAGATTCTGAAAAGGCTCTGAATCAGAGGAGAGTCAAAGAGGCTCTCTGTAACAAAGGCCTAGGGACCCCCACCCCCCCCCAAACCCCTGACCATCACACTTTCACTATATTTTATTTTATCCATTTTTTGAGATGAAGTCTTGCTGTGTCACCCAGGCTGCAGTACAGTGGTACCATCTTTGTTCAGTGCAATCTCTGCCTCCTGGGTTCAAGCGATTCTCATGCCAGAACCTCCCAGGTAGCTAAGATCACAATTGTGCACCACCATGCTAGGCTAATTTTAACAGAGACGGGGTTTCCACCACCTTGGCCAGGCTGGTCTCGAACTCCTGACCTCGTGATCCAGACACCTCAGCCTCCCAAAGTGCTGAGATTACAGGCATAAGCCACTGGGCCCGGCCTAATTTTTGCATTTTTAGTAGAGACAGGGTTTCTCCATGTTGGCCAGGCTGGTCTTGTACTCCTGACCTCAGGTGATCTGCCCATCTTGGCCTCCCAAAGTGCTGAGATTACAAGTGTGAGCCACTACACCTGGACTTACGCTATATTTTATGATTGAAAAAAAAAAAAAAAAAAAAAAAAAAACCAGCACAGCCATAAAATAAAAAAACAAACAAAAAAAAAAACTGAAATCACGTCCTTTGCTGCAACATGCAACATGGATACAGCTGCACTAAGTGAATTAGCGCAGGAACAGAAAACCAAGTACCACATGTTCTCACTTATGAGCGGGGGGCTAAACACCGGGTACACGTGGATACAAAGACAGGAAAAACACACACTGATGGGCCAGGTGCAGTGGCTCACACCTGTAATCCCAGCACTTAGGAGGCCAAGGCGGATGAATCACCTAAGATCAGGAGTTTGAGACCAGCCTGGCCAACATGGCGAAACCCTGTCTCTACTAAAAATACAAAAATTAGCCAGGCATGGTGGCGTACCCTGTAGTCCCAACTACTCAGGAGGCTGAGGCAGGAGAAATCACTTGAACCCAGGAGGTGGAGATTGTGGTGAGCTGAGATAGTGCCACTACACTCCAGCCTGGGTGACAGAGTGAGATTCTGTCTAAAACACCACACACACACACACACACACACACACACACACACACACTGAAGACTACTACAAGAAGGTCGGGGAAGGAGAGCAAGGACTGAGAAACTACCTACTGGGTACTGTGCTCATACCCTGGGTGACGGGATCAATCGTACCCCAGACCTAATCGTACCCCAGACCTCAGCATCATATGATATAGCCATGTAACAAACCTGGACATGTACTCCTTGAAGCTAAGATAACAGTTGAGCCGGGCGCGGTGGCTCAAGCCTGTAATCCCCAGCATTTTGGGAGGCCGAGGCGGGTGGATCACGAGGTCGAGAGATCGAGACCAACCTGGTCAACATGGTGAAACCCCGTCTCTACCAAAAATACAAAAAATTAGTTAGCTGGGCATGGTGGCGCGTGCCTGTAATCCCAGCTACTCAGGAGGCTGAGGCAGGAGAATTGCCTGAACCCAGGAGGCGGAGGTTGCGGTGAGCCGAGATGGCGCCATTGCACTCCAGCCTGGGTAACAAGAGCGAAACTCCGTCTCAAAAAAAAAAAAAAATTGTTGTCAACTATGTGGCATGCAGAAGATGTCAGCTGCCCAGAATAGCTGGTTATAGTTTACATCATTTCAACTGTGGTTTTATTTATTTATTTATTTATTTATTTTTTTTTTGAGACGGAGTTTCGCTCTTGTTACCCAGGCTGGAGTGCAATGGCGCGATCTCGGCTCACCGCAACCTCCGCCTCCTGGGTTCAGGCAATTCTCCTGCCTCAGCCTCCTGAGTAGCTGGGATTACAGGCACGTGCCACCATGCCCAGCTAATTTTTAGTCTTTTGTTTTTTTTGTTTTGTTTTGTTTTGTTTTGAGACGGAGTTTCGCTCTTGTTACCCAGGCTGGAGTGTAATGGCACGATCTCGGCTCACCGCAACCTCTGCCTCCTGGGTTCAGGCAATTCTCCTGCCTCAGCCTCCTGAGTAGCTGGGATTACAGGCACGCGCCACCATGCCCAGCTAATTTTTTGTATTTTTAGTAGAGACGGGGTTTCACCATGTTGACCAGGTTGGTCTCGATCTCTCGACCTCGTGATCCACCCGCCTCGGCCTCCCAAAATGCTGGGATTACAGGCTTGAGCCACTGCGCCCGTCGACAACAATTTTTTAAACTCAGGTGAGGATTAAACTGCTGGCCAGGCGCAGTAGCTCACGCCTATAATCCCAAACACTTTGGGAGGCTGAGACGGGTGGATTACCTGAGGTTGGGAGTTCAAGACCAGCCTGGCCAACAAAGCAAAACCCTGTCTCTACTAAAAATATAAAAATTGGCCAAGTGTGGTTATAAGCATGCGCCTGTAATCCCAGCTACTCAGGAGGCTGAGAAAGGAGAATCGCTTGAACCCAGGAGGTGGAGGTTGCAATGAGCCAAGATCTCACGACTGCACCCCAGCCTAGCTCACAGAGCAAGACTGTCTCCAAAAAAAAAGAGTAAACTGCTAGTAGGTAAACAAACATGTAACAGTCCAGTGCATAAAAAACATGATAATGATACAACAAACCAAAACTAAACCAAAAAAGGACAAATCAGACTCCCATTTCTCCAGTGCTAGATTTCTAGGAGACAACACTCTTCCTGTTCCTTCCCTAGATAAAAATGCAGCCCAAAGTTCTGACCACAGATTTCTTCAAGAAAGACCTGTGGATTCTGCAAGAGCAAGAGCCTAGAAAGAGGGAATGAGGAAATGAACACTGAAGTCCAGACAGAAAACAGGGGAGATGGAGACTGTCTGGCTTCACTCTCTCCTAGTACAAAAGCGGGTTAGAGGCAAAATTTCCTAACAATGCCTCCTCTGGGAAATGCTTTACTCCTACTCACTTTTTTTTTTTTGAGACGGAGTTTCACTCTTGTTACCCAGGCTGGAGTGCAATGGCGCGACCTCGGCTCACTGCAACCTCCGCCTCCTGGGTTCAGGCAATTCTCTTGCCTCAGCCTCCTGAATAATTGGGATTGCAGGCACGCGCCACCATGCCCAGCTATTTTTTTTTTGTATTTTTAGTAGAGACGGGGTTTCACCATGTTGACCAGGGTGGTCTCGATCTTTTGATCTCGTGATCCACCCGCCTCGGCCTCCCAAAGTGCTGCGATGACAGGCTTGAGCCACCGCGCCCGGCCTAGTCCAAGTATTTTCTAAAATATAAAATAAAAAAAGGCTGGGCATGGGGGCTAACACCTGTAATCCCAGCACTTTGGGAGGCCGAGGTGGGAGGATTGCTTGAGCCCAGGAGCTCAAGACCAGCCTGGGCAACATAGTGAGACGCCATCTCTACAAACAATAAAATAAATGGCATGGCGGTGCATATGTGTAGTCCCAGTCTACAAGGCTGAGGCAGGAGGATCACTTGAGCTCAGGAGTTTGGGACTGCAATGAGCTATGATTACACCACCGCACTCCAGCCTGGGTGACCAAGTGAGACCCTGTCTCTTAAAAAACAAAAGAAGAGCCGGGCACGGTGGCTCACGCCTGTAATCCCAGTACTTTGGGAGGCTGAGGTGGGCGGATCACCTGAGGTCAGGAGTTCAAGACCAGCCTGACCAATACGGTGAAACCCATCTTTAAAAAAAAAAGGAAAGAAGAAAGGTAGGTATCAGGCATATATTAAATCATTAGAAAAATGTTAAAAGTCCTGACTTTGTTTCACTGACATGAAAGTGACAGGACTATGGTCATGACATTGAAAACCTCCCTGGTACTTAACACAGCAATCTTGGATTTTATTTTCCACCCTAATCCTCATTCCAATATCTGTCATCAAATATTTAAAAAGAAATAATATGCAAATTACACACAAAGAAAATATAGTGGCCAGGCAGGGTGGGTAAAACCTGTAATCCCAGCACTTTGGGAGGCTGAGGCGGGTGGCTTGCTTGAGGCCAGGAGTTTGAGACCAGCCTGGCTAACATGGGGAAACCCTGTCTCTACTAAAAATACAAAAATTTGCTTGGCGTAGTGGCGCCAGCTACTTGGAAGGCTGAGGCAGGAGAATCCCTTGAACCCAGTGCCCAGAGGGTAAAATGAGCCCAGATCGCGCCACTGCACTCCAGCCTGGGCGACAGGGCGAGACAGTCTCAAAAACAGACATAGCAACAAAAGAAAAGAAAATACAGTAAATACATCGAATGAATGAAAGCATGATTCACTCAATTCTCCACTTGAAGCTGTATCGGTGTAACAAGGCACCTGGTAAGTATCATTTTAACATTCTAACTGCACATGGGAAAGACGACGGCGAAGTCGGAAGCCCCAGCTCCGTCCGAGTCGGGGACTGCCCGGTCCCGCACCCAGGGTGCTCCTGCGCAGATTGCATCACTCATTCATGCTGTCCGGCAGCGGGCGGCTGCTGTGACGTGAGACAAGTGAAGCTGCCCAAAACATAAACCAACAAAAGGAAGCCTGGAGATTCCCGGAAACGATCTGCCTGCGCGACGGAGAAAAATAAATGCAGACTCGGAGAGGAAAAGGAAAGTCGGCGACCCGGGAAGGTCGGGCGCACGCCGGGACTCACCCCGTCCTGGGCCTCGGGCTGCGGCGGCCGCAGGGCCCAGCGCCGGCTCCGGCTCGGCGGGCGCTTCCCGGGAACTGAGCCGCGCGGACCCGCAGGGCCCCCGCCCACGCGCTCCGGAGACCCGCTGATGCGCCGCGGCTTCCCACCCGTTCTGCAAGCGCTTCTGCGAACTGCAGGCGGCAGGTCTCTGCTCCGCAACGCGCGGCCGGGAGGGCGCCTCGACCCGCCCCAGGGGAGGGGCTCCCCGCGCGCGCCCCTCCCCCTCCCCCTCCCCCCTCCCCCCTCCCCTCCCCCCCCCCCTCCCCCTCCCCCCTCCCCCCCCTCTTCCCCCCCCCCTCTCCCCCCGCCGGGGCTCCCCGCGCGCGCCCCTCCCCCCCTCTCCCCCCCCGGGGGCTCCCCGCGTGCGCCCCTCCTCCACCTCCTCCCCCCGGGGCTCCCCGCGCGCGCCCCTCCTCCACCTCCTCCCCCGGGGGCTCCCCGCGCGCGCCCCTCCCCCTCCTCCCCCGGGGCTCCCCGCGCGCGCCCCCTCCTCCCCCGGGGTTCCCCGCGCGCGCTCCTCCTCCCCCGGGGTTCCCCGCGCGCGCCCCTCCCCCTCCTCCCCCGGGAGCTCCCCGCGCCCGCCCCTCCTCCTCCGGGGGTTCAGTGCCTGCAGACTGAGAGGTGCATGGGGCCGAGCGCGCTCCCCGCAGAGCAGCGGCCTACAGCACCTTCGCTTTCCTAAAGAGGAACGAAAGGGCTTCAGAAGCCGCTCCGCGCTGCCGCCACCACCACCTGGATGACGGTAGGTGAGGGAAGCAAGAGATCCCTGCACTGATTTTGCAATTAATGAAATCCCCTTGGGGGGGCCTCTTGAATGCCTTGTTTGGCGCGGATGAGCTTGTGGCAGTGTAGGTCCCAAAAGTACTTCAAAGACTACAGTACTTAAATTCTTTTTTTTTTTTGAGACGGAGTTTCGCTCTTGTTACCCAGGCTGGAGTGCAATGGCGCGATCTCGGCTCACCGCAACCTCCGCCTGCTGGGGTCAGGCAATTCTCCTGCCTCAGCCTCCTGAGTAGCTGGGATTACAGGCACGCGCCACCATGCCCAGCTAATTTTTTGTATTTTTAGTAGAGACGGGGTTTCACCATGTTGACCAGGATGGTCTCGATCTCTCGACCTCGTGATCCACCCGCCTCGGCCTCCCAAAGTGCTGGGATTACAGGCTTGAGCCACCGCGCCCGGCCTGACTTTAAATTCTTAATTAAAATGCAACCATGAGTAACAAAAGGAGTCTTTGCACCTTTTTATTTTATTTTAAATTTTTGTTTATGTTTTTAAATAGAGATGGGGGGAGCTCAAACTCCTGGGCTCAACCTGTCCTCCCTCCTCAGCCTCCCAAAGTGTTGGGATTACAGGTGTGAGCCATCGAGACCGGCCTATTTCTTTCTTTTTAAGAAATTTCTGAAGGCTGGGCGCGGTGGCTCACACCTGTAATCCCAGCACTTTGGGAGGCCGAGGCGGGTGGATCACGAGGTCAAGAGATCGAGACCATCCTGGTCAACATGGTGAAACCCCGTCTCTACTAAAGATACAAAAAATTAGCTGGGCATGGTGGCGCGTGCCTGTAATCCCAGCTACTCAGGAGGCTGAGGCAGAAGAATTGGTTGAACCCAGGAGGTGGAGGTTGCAATGAGCTGAGATCGCGCCACTGCACTCCAGCCTGGGCAGTAGAGTGAGACTCTGTCTCAAAAAAAAGAAAGTAGATGAAGAACTCACCAGAAATGCAGTGACTGTGCACCCTGCGTGCAGTGATATTGGTGGGACTCCGCTGGGAGGAGAAGCCCTACAGGAGTAGTTTACAACAGTGCAAAGAAACAATAACAAGAATAAAAATAAAACAAAAAATAGAACACAGCAAAGGAGGCAGAGCTACACAAAAGCCACCAAGAGCTACACTGAATGATACAGTCTGACCGTGGCAGCCGAAAACCTTCGCTTGCACTGAGAAGCTTGCCTTGCCTTCAGAGAAGATCCTTGCAAATGATTGGTCCAGGAAAATACAGTTCATTTGATAATGGATTAAAGAAAAGGACATCTTTGTTGTGGGCTGAACTGTGTTCCCCCAAAATCCATATGTTGAAGTCTTAACTCCCTAGTACCTCGGAATGTGACTATATTTGGAGACAAGGTTTTTTTGTTTTTTTTTTTTTTTTTTTTTTTTTGATACGGAATCTCGCTCTGTTGCCCAGGCTGAAGTGCAGTGGGACAATCTCAGCTCACTGCAACCTTTGTCTGCCGGATTCAAGCAATTCTCCTGCCTCAGCCTCCTGAGTAGCTGGGATTATAGGTGCACACCACCACACCCAGCCAATTTTTATATTTTTTAGTACAGATGAGGTTTCACCACACTGGCCATGTGTGTTGCCTGCCTCAGCCTCCCAAAGTGCTAGGATTACAGGCATGAGCCACCACACGGAGCTGGAAACAAGGTCTTTAAAGATGGGATTATGTTAACATGAAGTCTTTAGAGTGCGCCCTGACTGGTGTCCTTGTAAGAAGAGAAAATTTGCACATGGAGAAACATCAGAAACGTGTCAGCGCGCGGGGCACAGTGGCTCATGCCTGTAATCCCAGCACTTTTGGAGGCCAAAGTAGGCGGATCACTTGAGTACAGGAGTTTGAGACCAGCTGGGGCAACATGGCAAAACCACTTCTCTGATAAAAATACAAAAATTAGTCGGACGTCGTGGTGCGCACCTGTAATCCCAGCTACTTGGGAGGGTGAGGCAGGAGAACTGCTTGAACCCAGGAGGCAGTGTTTGCAGTGAGATGAGATCCCACCACTGCACTCCAGCCTGGGTGACAAAGCAAGACTCTGTCTCAAAAAAAAAAAAACACTGTCTGAGAAAAAAAGTTCATGATTTCTTTCCATGTAGGGGCCAGGCATAGTGACTCACTCATGCCTGTAATCTCAGCTCTTTGGGAGGCCAAAGCAGAAGGATTGCTTGAGGCCAGGAGTTCGAGACCAGTGCAGGCAACAAAGTGAAACCCTGTCTCTACGAAACATCAAAAAATTAGACAGTCATGTTGGTGAGTGCTTGTGGTCCCAGCTACATGGGAGGCTGAGGCAGGAGGATAGCTTGAGCCCAGGAGGTTGAGGTTGCAGTGAGACATGTTCGTGCCACTGCACTCCAGCTTGGGTGACAGAGTAGGACCCTTTCTCAAAAAAAGAAAAACAAAAGGACGTAGAAGGGAAAAACATAACTATTCACGCTGGACATGGTGGCAGTTGCCTATAATGCCAAGTACTCAGGAAGCTGAGGCAGGAGGATCACTTGAGCCCAGGAGTTCAAATCCAGTCTAGGAAATATATTGAGATGCCATCTCCAATAAATAGGTAAAATAACCATCACAGAAGTGAAGATGAAGCTAAAAAGAGCAAAAATAGGCCAGGCGCGGTGGCTCATGCCTGTAATCCCAGCACTTCGGGAGGCTTAGTTGGGCGGATCACAAGGTCAGGAGTTTGAGAGCAGCCTGACCAATATGGTGAAACCCCGTATTTACTAAAAATACAAAAATTAGCCGGGTGTGGTGGTGAGTGCCTGTAGTCCCAGCTACTTGAGAGGCTGAGGCAGGAGAATCCCTGCTTTCTCATTTTTATACTTTATATTGTTTTGATTTTTTCTCTAATTTAATTCCTTTTGTTTATATTGTATGCTTTTCTCATTTTTATACTTCATATTGTTTTGTTTGTTTGTTTTGAGAGTCTCGCCTGTTGCCCAGGCTGGAGTGCAGTGGCGCAATCTCAGCTCACTGCAACCTCCCAGGCTGGAGGTCAGTGGTGTGATCTCGGCTTACTGCAACCTTTGCCTCCCAGGTTTAAGTGATTCTCCTGGCTCAGCCTCCTGAGTAGTGGGGATTACAGGTGCCCGCCACCATGTCCAGCTAATGTTTTATTTTTAATAGAGACGGGCTTTCACCATGTTGGTCAGGCTGGTCTCAAACTCCTGACCTCAAGTCATCCGCCTGCCTCAGGCTCCCAAAGTGCTGGGATTACAGCCATCAGTCACTGCACCCAGCCATACACACATTATTAAAATTAAAAATTTAAAAACAAAGAAAAATGAAAAATTACCCAGAGACAGTCCCTGTTAAAACATTTTGATGTATATCCTTCTGTCCTTTATTGACACCTATTTGGGAAGATTTAACAAATCTTTAATAAAATGAGACACCAGACATCATTTTTATATTTTCATGTACATATTTCTTTTTTGAGATGGAGTCTCACTCTGTCACGCAGGCTGGAGTGCAATGGCATGATCTCGGCTCACTTCAACCTTCACCTCCTGGTTCAAGCAATTCTCCTACTTCAGCCTCCTGAGTAGCTGGGATTATAGGCGTGAGCCAGCATGCACAGGTAATTTTTATATTTTTAGTAGAGGGGTACACCATGTTGGTCAGGCTGGTCTTGAACTCCTGACTTTGTGATCTGCCCGCCTCAGCCTCCCAAAGTGCTGGGATTACAGGTGTGAGCCACCGTGCCCAGCTCATGTATATATTTCTTCACTCTCCTTTTATAATATATACATTTGGGGAAGTTTGCAAAAATGAGAATATTCTAACCTTTTAAAATATAGTTTGTGTTATTTTAATGTACACTAGGTACAGTGGCTCATACCTGTAATCCCAGCCTTTGGGAAGCTGAGGTGAGCAGATCACTTGAGCCCAGGAGCTCAAGACCAGCCTGGGGGAAAAAAATACAAAAATTAGCCGGCATGGTGGTGTACACCTGTGGTCCCAGCTACTTGGGAGGCTGAGGTGGGAGGATCACTTGAGCCCAGAAGGCAGAGGTTGTGTTGAGCCGAGACCATGCCAGTGCACTCCAGCCTGGGCAACAGAACAAGACATCATCTCGAAAACATAATTTTTTGGATGCATATTCTCTGTCCTTTTTTGTATAGACCCCCGGGGAATGTTTCAAAAGTGAGAACTTATTATACATGCTATTCAAAATGTTTTTTCCCCTTATCAAGAACACCTATTTATGTGTTTAATATGCTTCCATCACCATTTTTTTTTTTTTTTTTTTTGAGATCGAGTCTCACTCTCGTCCCCCAGGCTGGAGTGCAACGGTGCGATCTCGGCTCACTGAAACCTCCGCCTCCTGAGTTCCAGTGATTCTCCCGCCTCGGCCTGCTGAGTGGCTGGGATTACAGGTGTCCACCACCATACCCGTTTAGTTTTTGTATTTTTAGTAGAGACAGGGTTTCACC